GTTTGCCCTATACCTATAAAAATATAATTTGATGTGGTTTGGAATATCATGAATGATAAACTCCTTGCTATGCTTTTATTATGGGTGCTTTAAAAAACTTTGTAAAAGAATGAGTCCTTTTATTGGGTAATTTAATCTTCATTATGGGTGGTCTGCAGCAAAATTTTATATTTAATGTACCACTGTAATTAAAATCTTCCCAGATGGTCAGCCCACATCTGTGTTTAAAAAATACCTCTGGACTATCATAACAGAAAAAACTGGATTAATCATAGAAATATTCATGAGATTCTGTCCAGATAGCCCCTCACTTTTAAAGAGTTGACAAAAACTGTCTACCTGTGATGGGTCACCAGACTGTAATGCACCCCTAAAATGCATGGAGATCAGTCCAGAGAGTCCCCAATTTGTTGCAATTTAACTGGGATTTTCCTTCTCACTAATGGGCTGTCAGGATGGAGCTCTGCCCTAGCCTGTGAGTACCTGTGCTCTGGAGCTCTCTGCTCTCTGATGGGTTAGAAGGTTGTGACCCATTGTGAACCTCTAAGCATGTGTGCTCCTGTTTCCAGGCTGTTTTCTGAGAGGATGTATCTGTCTGCAGTCCCATTTATACCACTATGAAAATATCTCCGTCTAGCTTATGAGAGCTTTTCTGTTATTTACAGTTGCTTTTGCTGTTGCCTTAGATATAATGGTTGACAATATTAAATGGTGGAAACCCTATTTCTGGTGTGCTGGTGGTCATCTTTCCATTAGCGTAGCAAACCCCGGGAGATAACCAAATTAAAGTAGGAAATATTTAATTGGGCTCATGGTTCCAAAAGTTTCAGTCTAGTCAGTTGGTCCAATCACTCTGGGTGGTGGTGATGCACTACAGCATGGTGGAAATGCATGGTAGGAGCTTGTTCACCTCACAGCAGTCAGGAAGCAAAAGAGAGGAACAGGAAAAGGTTGTAGGATAAGTATCTTCTTCAGGGGTTCCCTCACCAATACTTATCTTTCTCCCATTAGGCCCTACCTCCTAACGGTTTGTCCAGCTCCCAAAGGTGCTACCCTGTGGACAAAGGCTTTGGATCATGAGCCTTTGTGGAACATTTTAGACCCAAGCAGGATTTGAAAATATTAATATTTGAATGGCACATTTGTTGCTGGATGACACATCATCTTTCCTGAGTCGATCCCTGTCCAGGTTGTTGTTTTGTCAACTTGAGATGAGCTAGAGCCATTTGAAAAGAAGGACTCTGCACTGAGAAACTGCCTCCATAAGACTGGCCTAGAGGCAAGTCTGTTGGGCATTTTCTTCATACTTGATTGGTATGGGCCCAGCACATTGTGGGTAGTGCAAAACTTGGGCAGATAGTCTTGAGCTATGTAAGAAAGAAGATTGAGAAATCCATTGGGAACAAGTCAATAACTAGTATTCCTTCATGGCTTTTACCTGAGTTCCTGCTAACTTGCCTCAGTGATGGAATGTGACCTGAGAGTTGTGAGACAAAATAAACTCTTCCCTTCCCAAGTTGGGAAGTTTTGGTGATGGTGTTTCATCACAACTGTAGAACCCTATCTACAAAAGTCCCATAACTGTTTGCACTCAATTATTTTTATGAAAGCAGGAAGAGGCTGATAGATAATTGACTAAGTGTGTACTATACCATGAATAGTGTTTTCATTGTGAGTGCTAAAACATTTCTGCTGTTAAATTCCACTCATTTGGAAACCTTCTGACCTCTCTTAATAATATCTTTTATGTTCTGGATTCTTTTGTTCAGAGGGAGAAAAGACCAGTGCAGATGATGTATCATAGAAGTGTATTTAACCTCGCCTACGTGAAAGAAGTTCAGGCAACGATGCTGGTGATGCCCTATGATGGCATGGAGCTGAGCTTGATAGTCCTACTCCCAGTTGATGGTGTGGACCTCAGGAAGGTGAGGCACCTCTCTCAATGTCCATGAGAAGAACCCAGTGTCCATTCTCATTAGAACAGAAAGCAGTGTTTGCAGATTTGCAACTGCCATTTGAGTAGATGGTACCCAGCTTAGGGCTGAGTGCAGGAGCTGGACTTTGGGTCAAAGCTGTGTCTGAGACTCCCATTGTGGGTTGTGTGACCTTGACACAGAACATAACTTTATCAC